CCCCCTCGGCGGCCGAGGCCCGCTAGCCGGCCGTGGGACGGACGCTGGGGCGCGGTGTACAGATGCTGTATCATACTGGCTCCCGCTGGCCGCCCCGGGAGTGGTGGGGCGCTGTAAGCAATTTGATTGCTTCCCTTCTATTTAAAAATAGCCACAAAATAACAAAAAATTCTGAAAATATGAATAAATATTACCCTTTTTGCTGTAACTTTTTTAAAGTTTTGACTTTAAAAAGTTTACAAATCGTAATTAGAAGTGCTCTCTATTTTTTTTTTTTAATTTAAGACAAGGTTAACAGTGAAAGCTCAACAATAGGGATGTTTTTAATAAACTCTATTTTCGTAACAAACCTTGACGTGTGCTGTTGTTCGTGCACTGCCCCCGGTGGGCAGGACGCTCACGAGTCTCAGCTGTCCGGCCTCCAGGCTGAGTCAGGCTGTGGTGGAGTCGGCACGCGTGCTCGCGCTTCATTCGTGATGCTTTTGACGGAGCTTTTTAATCCTAAGGTGCACGGTGGTGGTTTAATGCTTGCTTTGCAGTTCAGTCAAGGTTTGCTGTTTCGTGTTTTTGTTGTTTTGCTTTTGCCATTGGCTTTGCGGTAAACGTTGCCCTAATTCATCTGTAAAGAGACCTTTGGCTGGGGAAACGGTGGGCCCAGCATCACGCTGTCCTCACTATCCGAGCGCCTGGCTGTCCTTCCTGACAAGGGTGAGTGTTCGCTCGCCACCGTCCCGTGTTTTCAAAGGGGCTGAAGTGAAGATGAACGTGTGTTCTGTGCGTGTAAGGACTTGGACGCAGCCTATGCGCCTTGCCTTTCTCTACTGGTTTTGTGAACTCCCGTCTGGGCAGGGACGGACTGAGCTTTTTGCCACCTATGAAGTACTTTTCTCTTGTTAAAATTGTGAACTAGGAGAAACAGGTAGGTCATCCAGGAACGATCCCACGGAGACGTGCAGGCCACATCGAAAGGACCTGTCCTGTTAGCAGCTCCGGCGCCAGAAGCCACCCTGCGTGACAATGCCGGAGTTCCCGGCCTGGACGCGTTTATCATGTTTAAATTGGCGTGTCGGTGTGCTGGGCAGGTAACTTTCCGCAACCCCCACCCCCCCAGGCAGAGCTGGCCCGGGCGTCCTGGTGCCCTGAGCGAGGCCGTGGTGGTCCTGGGGAGGCCTCGGGCCGTGTGCCACATCCTGTTGCTTCTGCAGACGTGAGCTCTACACTCTGGGCTGGGCCTTATGCTGGCCACTGGGCTCACGTCCTCGCCAGCTGCGCTGGGAAGAAGCGGACCTCTGTTGCTTAGCTCCGATTTCCAGGCCTCGCAGCCTGTTTCCAGTTGGAAGCTTGAGACCAGCCGATTCACACACGACAACCCTCCCAAGTCCCAATAGTGGTGGCACGTCCACGCAAGGCCTTGGTCACAGGGAGTCCGTGTTGTGGTCCCACCTGCATTTGTGAAACTTTCCGTTCCCTGCCTGACAGCAGGTGTGACCACTCGTTTGAGCCTGTTATTCACCTACTTTAGCTTTGAAAACAAATTGCCTTTTTCTGAATTAGCTTTTCCTCCTAAATGATCTACATTTTTAAAGTACATCACGTACTTAAAACCACTCAGAACAGTAGCTCATTTCTGTTTTGCTACCCCCAGTATTTTACAATGTTCAACTGACAGACAACTCATCCAGGGGAACCTGAGTCCGGTGGACGTTTCCTTTAGGAGCTCGCGCTCACAGGAACGAAACTCACACAGAGAAGCAGCTGAAGCCACATCCGTGGCCCCCGTGCCGCAGCCGGCTCTTCAGAGGGCTCCCTGAACGCCGACTGCGCCGCTGCCGCTTGTATTGTCACCAGATGCTCACGGTAGGTGACGTCGCCTCAGTGGGCAGCCAAGCCGTAGCTGCCCCGCAGTGTCACTGAGTTACAGGCTCGGCCACAGGACCCAGCTTTACAGTAAAGGTACTTGAAGTCCAATGCTAAGTGGTGAGCAGGGGAAGCCCCACCTCCCCTGACGCGGCCGGGACGG